TAGTATATATATGTATCTATATATATAGATATATATAGATAGATAGATAGATAGATAGATAGATAGATAGATAGATAGATAGATAGATAGATAGATAGATAGATAGATAGATAGATAGATAGATAGATAGATAGATAGATATAGATAGATATAGATATAGATAGATATAGATATAGATATAGATATAGATAGATAGATAGATAGATATGATTATATATATATATATATATATATATATATATATTATACATATATATATATAAGTATATATATGTATATATATATATATATATATATATATATATATATATATATATATATATATATATATATATATATATATATATATATATAGTATCATTTTTAACTTACATAATACCTACCAATTACTAATACTTCAAAGCTTACATATCTAATTTCATATTCAAACCAAAAACAATTATTTCAAAACTAACAGCTGAGCTACCTATAAACAAAAGAGGTCTCTAATAGTTCTGAAACACACCTGCTGAAATCTTACGTTTCTGAGTGTTGTCTTGAATCCAAGCATCTGGATTTGAGAAAGAATCTCCTGCACCTCCTGAGCTGCTCCCAGCAACATCAGAATTGTCATCTAAGATGAGAGGTTGAATGCACTTAACATAAAGAGAAATGAATATATGCTTCCATGCAAATATATCAAAATGCTCATATACTTAATAACTAATATACACACAATGTGCAGGAAAGAGCGCTATCTCATGTGAAGAGATTAAATCAATAAAATATATTAATATTTTTTTCCTGTTTTTGTGTTTTGTATGTATCAACCCATTTTGGATTGTGTCAACACATTATTGACAGTTAAGTTAGGACCTGATGACATGTTTCAAGACTGGATTGATGATGGTGATCAAGGTGCAGTTGATTGTAGGGATGAATAGTGTATCATATTTCTTTTGCACAGTCTTAACATTTCTATTTGATGACTAGTGACAGCAATCATCATTATAATCATCACAGCTACTCTATTATTCACTAATTCAAGTTTAGTCTACACAGATGGAACCACTCTCTTTTGAACCGATAGGAAAAAAATGAAGGGAATAGGATACAACACAAATATGCCATTAGTCCTGCATATTCATGTGCTTTTTTCTCCATTATTTTAATCACAGTTTGTTCAGCATGAATACTTAACCAGAAAGGAAAACCACTTAGGGTATCCACTGACTGTCTTTTAAGAACATCATTTCAGGAGTGACAAAACAATCAATCACTGTCATGGTTTCAAAATGATACCTGATCAAGAAAGCTTTCCTTGGCAATCCTGAGGCATTTGAGCAAGGGAATGAGTAGGAAGAGTCTCAAAGCACAGATAAACTAAACTTAGATGCTGCAGCATAACAGTGTCCTCATCCATAATATTTGGTAAAACATGAAATTACTCTCTTCCTTCATCAGCCTTGCTCTCCAGGCACTGGAAGACTTTTCTTATTATTCCTAAACTTTAAATCCACATTAAAAAAAATTTAATTTCAGATGAGGTGAGACCTGTGCCCTATGCCTCAAAATGCCTTAAAGAGCACATTTCAAAACAATAAATTATAATGAAAGGTGTATTGCCAATAAAGAGGAATTTTTAAAGGGGACAAGTATGACTAATTATAATTAAAACAATAAATTTGTACTATAAAAAATTCAGTTTCCTTTTCGACAGACCTTGTATAGGTATTCAAACCAAGCCTTACTCAGAGTTCCCACTGCTTAAAAACCCTCTGTGACCACCATACATGTGCAGTTCATAAGACCTTAAACTTTCCAAAAATGTTCTGCCCACCTTAGAGTAGCCAGCACTATAATGCATGAAAAAATTATTTCTTAACTTACCATCTTCAAATTCCTTCTTCACAATAGATGATATACGTTTGTCCCACTCATCACTGAGGTCATCATCTGGCTCAGGCTGGTAACTTGCACCAGCCCTGTGCTCTGGTCTCTTTGTACCTTTGCTAGCATAATCTCTTTCATCCAGTGAGTCAAGCATTCGTCCAACATTTCGTACTTGACTGGCATCCATAGACAATGTGGGTAAAAGATTCACATCTTTTTCTTGACGATCTTTTGAGCGCTGAGCGTACCACAAGCCTAAAAAAAAATTTGAATTATCAGCAATACTTAAAATGGAATCTAACCTTCCTAAAACAAAACAAAGTATGATATTCAATTCCACAATTCTCAGATATCAGTGCTCCAAGATACATAAGATACAAAACATAATGCATGGTAATGATAAGTACTCTTCACTTACACAGAATTCATTTTCATAATCATAATAACTGATCTATAGTATTTAGGCAATGTCCTGTTGCAAAGTAAATTTTATAAAGGGAGTAAAACGAAATAAAAATAAAAGTTGGAAAATATTAAGAAATTATAACTTTTATTCTTCATCTATAACATGTGCTACAGGTGCCTCAAGAAATTACTTCCTAACAAACTAAAACTCATTATGCGCCATCATGGTAGTTGCATAACTAAGGTTTAACAAGATTATTTGCATTGTAAGTGGAAAATATCTAAGCTAGACAGCATTATGGCAGCAAAATTATGGAGCTAGGGGAGCAATTAAGAAACTACCAAAATGCTGGGAGTAAAGGAACTTCTTAAGGCAACCATATATATCTCACTACAAAAAGCATTACACTCACCAATTTCTCTGCCCTTTAAATGTGGTGGAGGTCGTTCCCCTCGGCCTCTTCCGCCCCCCCCACCTCCCCTTCCTCTGCCTCCTCCTCCTCTTCCTCTTCCTCTACCTCCTCCCCATCCTCCACCACTTTCTCCTCTCCAACCGCCACCATCTCCACCACCATCACGGTAGCCTCCTGCAACAAAGTAAGTTAGCAATTAATAGTAGTACATGATGATGATAATAATAATGATGATGATGATAATAATAATGATGATGATGATGATAATAATGATAATAATAATAATAATAATAATAATAATAATAATAATAATAATAATAATAATAATAATAATAACAATAATAATAATAATAATAATAATAATAATAATAATAATAATAATAATAATAATAAATAATAATAATAATAATAATAATAATAATAATAATAAAAAAACAACAACAACAAAAACAATAACAATAATAACATTAATAATAATAAGAAGAAGAAAGAAATAATAAAATATTAACAATATTAATAATAATAATAATAATAATAATAATAATAATAATAATAATAATAAAATAATAATATAATAATAATAATAAAATAATAATAATAATATAATAATATCAATAATAATAATAATAATATGATAATACAGAATAAACAAACAACAACAACAACTTACCTCTTCCTTCACGTCTCCCATACATGCTGAAGAAATATTGTTGGTATTCTGAAAATGCGTAAAAAATAAAACAAATAACTAAATGTGAAGTTGAAAACCTAATCTATTTAGGAGTGTACAAAGTGTAATGGCTATGTACCATCTTTGAAGTTGATGACACTTTTCCATGTCAAGAAAACCTATTACTTCAAAAATTGGAATTCTCAAAATGTTATTTCAAAATTCCACTGAGCCATCAACCAATTTGATTCTATAACATTCTGATTATTGAATACAATACGTAGAAATATAAGTAACAAACCAGTAAAATGCAGCCCGCCGGAAACAAAAACAAAACGGTCAAAGCCCGAGTACGACAATTAAAGCTGTGTGTTCTGTGTGTATTATATTACTAGCGGGGCGTCTTGCGGGCGGGACGTGGGCGGGGGGGGGGGGGGGGTGGGGTGGGGCTGGGAGGGGGGGTGTTGGAGCCCCTGTAAATACTTAAACTTTGCTCTTATAACACTACATCTATACAATCATATAATATCTATCAAATATCCATCTTATAGCATTCATATACAACTAATATATATATATTATATATATATTAATATATATATATATATATGTATATATATTATATAATATATATATATATAGGAGAGAGAGAGAGAGAGAGAGGAAGGAATAA